ATATTCTTAAGGTTTCAAGGATTTATGCCCTGCTTAACCAAATGCAGAAATTCTTTCACCCCTTGCAGTGGAGTGCTCTCGTTTTTCATAACCTGTCAAAACAACAAATTATTATTTGAGCTGCGAATAAAAATACACACCAGTCACTTTCATTGGCTGTAAACTTTGTCGTACTTCGAAGTATGGCGGCCAATCATTCACAAGCATGAGCAGAAAACTCGAAGTACCACACAGGCGAACCACTCCCTCGGTGACTGTACTATAGTACTATGTAGTAACTACTTATTCGTACTTCTTTTCTGATGCAGTGAAAACTCTTGGAGGTTGAATCTCTGACCGAATATTCAAGTCAGTTGTTGACGACGGATTGATGTGTCGGCGATATAGTTTTTGTTGCGACCCATTCAAGTAAAACAAGGGAAAAGCTACAAGATCCATGAAATGCATTTCATAATGAAACTACGTACGAAGTTGCTTAGTGACAGCAAACGCGTGGTAGCAAGGTAATAAGTCGTCTTGCCATCTTCCGCACGAGCATAAGCGAGCTGGAATGTCAACGTCGTGCACTTTTCGCCTAGAAACGTATGACACCGACGTGTGGCGAACCTTGTATTTGCCAATGTTTTGAACGTTGCCTGGGTCATCACACTTCGCTTGAGGCTACATAATAGTATTGTTGCTGTAATATACATAGAACAATTCGTACGTGGTATTCCTTTGAATAGTTGATACTTCGTTCAACTTGCTGAAGAACTGCGTCCACGAGGAAGTTAGATCGCTTCGACACTAACTTGGCTCGTTGCTTGTTGAACTTCAGTAGCAACTTGCACATGTACTGATAGTACGCTGAAACAAGATCAGATGAACGCAACAACACCCCAAGCCACGAGTTTTTTTCTTCCGATGCGATCAATGTCTTTGTCCCAAACGTCGCAAATCCTAACTCGTTGGTATTGTACTGAACCCATCCTTCGCTTCCACTGGTACGCCTGGGGGAGATTGGCCTTGAGCGTGAGCATCAACGATTCGAACGCATCCTTGGAACGTGCGTCTGTGTAGCGGGGAATATTCGGACGTTCCGCGACCAGCCGTGGTGTTTTGGCTTTCTGCGCTCCGCGCTACGGGAGGCTCGCTGAACTTGTTAGTCCCTGGGGTCTGAACCCAGGACGACCACGGACAAGACTCTGAGCTATATTAAAGGGCTCCCGGAGCAGACTCCGGACGTCCTGGACCTGGATTATCCTTTAGTCATACTCTTTTCTTTGAAGGTAAACCAACTAACTCAACTTTACATTCTGCCCTGAACTACGTGTTTGGTGTTTTGCATGTTGCCTACGCCGCACCTACCCATTCGATTTGTTGCGAAACCCCGCGACATTCTGGTGGAGCAGCAGGGTAGGTGTTTGCAAAGGAATCGCGGAAGAAGAAAGGAAAGATAACGACAGATGATCCCACGACGACAGCGGTGCGCCAATCACACCGTCTGGTGGGAGATGCTCCGGAGTTTGGACTCCTGGACAGCGAACGCCTACTGCGAAAGAAGCCTCTGGTCACGGGTCTGGTCCCGTTGGAAGACGATGACTGCGGGCGAGTATCGACTCCAGGACGGAAGCGGGAAGCTAAGGTGTCGCCCCCGTCCGACCGTCCAGAGACGCGGTCACCGTTGAAGAGACCGGCGCTGGCATCGGCGGCATACCTGGCCTTAGTGCCTACGACTCCCCTGGCCAGAACCGGTAACGACGGTCCGACCCTGACCCTGGCCAGAACTGGTACCGACGGTCGTGAGTCCGACGCCGAAACCTTAGAGCGCTATTCGATACCTGTTCCAGCTCCCGGATACACCTCCCTAGTCCAAGAGGGGTACGGGGTATGGTATTAGGAACGCCTACCGGGACGCCTACCTGGAACGGTCCCGGGTACCAGGAAATACTATCGTAGCAACGATCACGGTGGCCATCGGAGGGATATGGGACATCCAGAAGGCCTATGAAGAATTCACTCGGGGCATTGAAGAGCAACAACGAAAGGCGTCCCTACTGTTTTTCCAACAAGCCAACAAGGACGGGGCTCGTTTACTGGGTGTTCAGGAATCCCAGTTGGTAGAGATGGCCGAAGGATTACTACGGGCCGCGGAAACCCATGAAAGTTGCCGCCAGGATGAGTTCCAGAAGGCCCTGACCTACCTCCGGGACTGCTACACTCGGGAACTGGACGTTGCAGTAACCAACGAAGCGAATGATGCTCTGCACCGGGAAGCGGAATATAATGCTCTCTCCTGGGAGGACCGGACCCGGGAACTGGAACAACAACTGGCTCTGAAATGGGAACAACGTGAAGCCCTCCTGGTACGGAACAAGGACTCCGACATCCTGGGGCCCGCCGTCTGCATGAAGAAGTCCTGTCCCAGGTCCAGAAGGATGCGGAACGGGTTCTCAAAGTGCGCCGCCGGGAGGACCATCTGCCTCACGACGGCCTCATGTCCAGTCTCTGGGAAGAACTCGGGACCGTCAAGCGGAACCATCAAGAGGAAATCCTCCTAGTACGGGAAACTGCCCGTGACGAGGCCACACCGAAGGGGGTTGCATATGACCTACTTCAGTCCCATATGACCGAGACCTGGCTTCGGCCCGGGACGAGGTCCAGTCGAAGGCTTCGGAACTCGAGTCGGTACAGGAGGCCCTCCGGGACCTCTCTTTCCGGGAGTCTGCGAACGTCGCCTGTGGAAATTGCCCGATCCTGGAAAGGGAAAAGCAGGACCTCCGCGAAGCTCTACGGGAACGGGAACGGAGTATGGAAGAGGAAGTATAGCGACGCCAAAGGATGGAACGAGTCTGGGAAGAAGAGCATCGGCGTCTCTGGGAGAGAGAAGAGACGGTCCGGGAACTCCAGGAGTCTATCCTGACCGAGCAGAATCGGTACGAACAGACCCTGCTTTCGGAACAAGGACGCCGTCAGGATCTCGAACAGTTGATCCAGGAGCAGTTCATGACACTTATCCAAGAACGCGCTCAGTCCGGAGAAGATCCCTCGCTCGGGACAAGGGTTCAGCTGGAACGGGAGAGGCACGACAACGACGAGGTGTTGCGCCAAGTAGAGGAAGCGCGCTCCTGTTTGGAAACGGAGAAATTGCAGTTGAGGGATCAAGAAGCTACCCTGTTCAGAGAACGGTCGGTCCAGGACCTCACCCTGAGCCAGGCGTATGCGGAGTTGGAACACCAACGGGTCCAGCTACAAGTGGAACAAAGAGCTGTGGAACTCCAACAAAGGACGCCTCGGAAGACGAACAATGCCCCGTACGCGTCATATGGGATCCCGACTCTGTCACCGATGGGGTTCCCGTCTAAAGGAAGCGGGATCACGCATACTACGTTTACTACGGCGCCCTTGCTCCTGACCACCCGCTCAAACACATCTACGCCTCGCCGAGCCTTCGACCAAACCTGTTTTATGCAGCAGACTGAGGTGCTGACAGAATCAGCTTCTGTCCGGATTCCACCAACGTTTACGGTCCGGGACACCACGTCGCTACCTTTTGTGCCGACGGCGGCTCCCATGTCACGACCCAACCGCGATGCCAACTCGTACCCGTCCTCGGGGGCCTATGGCCAGCAGCTCGGAGTAGGGTACACGCAGTCATCCCCTCGTGCAACCAGGTCGGGGTATGCCCCTCCTGCCTCCTATGGTCCGGAACCCAGTGGTGGAGCTTTACAGCCCCGGGGCGGCTACGGGGGTGGTTACTCAGGTCGAACGAATCCTCCCGCACCCCCTGGAAGTCGACCGAATGGGGGTGTTTATGGTGGACCCTTCGGTGGCCGAGGTGACCCTCCGGGACCTCCAGGTGGTGGAGGATCCGGCGGGTACTACGGTGGTCTCCGATGCAAGCTTCGCATACACGTGTCCTTTGCTCCACATGAATACGTTTCAAAAGTTGCCATGGCAAGTGTGCATCCCACGAACGACAGCACTCGTGATACTCACCCACCCTGTCATAGAATCGCCGTACAAAACGTCAGCATCCTGTCTCAGCACGCGTTAGAAATCAGGACAATCACACACCAAGTCCACGCTCTATCGGCATTGCCTTGAAGGGGGGGTTGAACGACGAAGAAGGAAATAACTTACAATATATGTTAGTATGCAAACACTGCACGGACATGCCAGTACCGAACGCCAATAGGCAGTGTAGCCCATACTGAACACTATGCTGAATGCCGAATTGCGAACACAGCATGCCAAAGTCGTGGACAAAGTACTTATGCTGACTGCTCTATTCATTTGACAGGTCAAATCACTAAACTACAACTTTACGTTCCATCCCCTATGCAGCAGCGTGATGGTTGTGATCGTCCTGATGCTCGTGTTTGGCTACCACTGCTGCTGCAATGGCTGGTGACGTTGCCGAGTCAAAGCCATCGAGCAACGTGCCAGCGAAAAGGAGGAGGAAGAACACGCACTC